AAAAAAAAAAAAAAAAAAAAAAAAAAAAAAAAAAAAAAAAAAAAAAAAAAAAAAAAAAAAAAAAAAAAAAAAAAAAAAAAAAGAAAAAAAAAGTGTTTTGAGTTGTTAGTAGGAAATCAGACTCTTTTATGTTTTTGCTATTGTAATATTGCTTGAGTATATAATGGTACTTGAAACTATCCCTGAGCCAGGGCTGGGATTCACTTGCCTAAAGACAGGCTKGAACTGTTCTCTGGAATTCTGTAAAARTATCAAGTTTTTCACATGAAAAGAAGGGGAAAGACCCAAGGGCCTGGTAGATAGCCTCATTTTAATTTCCAAAAGCCACCTATAATCAAGAAAAGTTTGACTTAGTTGCCTAGGTATAGATATATGCTACTAGCTCAGATACTCTCGAGCATCCTGCCTGATCTATACCTCCAGATAGGCATAGGTGCTATGTAGTACTCACCAACCCTATAAAACTCGATTCAAGTTATTTTTGCCATCTCAGATGTTGTGTGTTTAGGCCATTGAACTGAGTATGAGAGAAGGGTCATTGTAGCCTTTGGAACCAGCAGATGCAGATTCAGCTGACCAGAGATTGGTCTGTCTGCCTCTGAGTGAGCTCAGAAATTCCCCAGAACCTGTTGGCTGGAGCCCTGATGACTATCATAGCAACTAAACTGTTCAGCTTACATTGTAGGAACTGAAATTTAAGAAAACTTAATSCTATCAGGGTCAGAATGAGAAAGGAAAAGGAGTCTGCAAATAAGAGTAATGATTATAAAAATGAACCTGCTGTGTTTAGAGATCGGCCTTTGTTTGCGAGGCTGACATTGTGCACTAGTTTTCTGCTTAATTTTCTTTTTCTTGGCTGCATTACCTTCCAGTGCAGAATTGTTTCAATTTATTATTACCATCCTTAGCTACCTAATTGTGCTACTAATGAATACAAATAATCCAGGCATCAGGCTTTTACAGACCCACTTCAGTGTACAAATAATGGTTTGTTGTGTAACAGCTGATTATGGGAGAAGGTAACTCACGTTATGGAAAGTATGTGCTGAAATATCGGTGATGAGGAAAGCAATGTACTCTGTACTATGCCTTTTAAATAGTGAAAAARTATTGTCATTCTTCTTCCATTGGGTTGTCCAACATGACTAAGTGTGAGGTCATCTGAGCCTGGTTTTTAAGCATGTGTACTTACATTTGGAACTCGGTTTCAATTTTTGGAGTGCTTGTATTAGCACTATCACACATGAAATTCATAGTTGGCTACCAAATTGCCTATTCAAGTACATATGTATGGGGTTTGAGCACTCAACATTAAGCATTTGCATTTCAAAATTGGATCCCTTGTGCTTGAAAGCCTYGAAAATGGTACTCTATGGTCAGCCTAGTGCAGCGCCAATTGAAATGCTGTTTGAATGCAATGTAGAGCTTCCAATTGCTGCTTCAGAAAGTGTTATGCTGAATCTGGAACACTTTGCATAATTTAATTAATTATGCCACTAAAAACTGATTTTCTCTCAATTTAAAGCAAACAGCTTTTATGAGGGTGAACTGCAGCACCCAGGGATATCAGGTGTCCAAGCTTTTAATCCTATTACAAAGACTTGACAACCACTGATGGAAACTGGAAAAACATAAGCCTCCAGCAGGGCAACAAGTGAAAAGGAAGAAGGCAACAGATTTTTAATACTCTTTGAAACCACTGTATGCATTAAATCAAAATCAAATGTAAAAAAGTGACAGATCTGGTAGCTTGCACTTTGTGCAGTGTCTGAGGAATAACACTTATTTTGCCTTGACATTAATGAAAATAACTGTTTCCTCTAAGAGGAAAAATGTTCTGTTTAACTAACATAAGAAAAACACAGTGAATAGCCAAGACTATTTGTATTTGTGTCTTTTCACTTAAAGTCTTAAAAGAGCTCAGTGGCCTGAACTTGTAAAGTGGCTTCTGATGTTATGGATTGAATTTTGTCTATAAATAATTTTCCATATAATCAAACCTTAACAGATGATTCCAGACTACAAGAATTAAAGACACTGTCACTAAATATTAGCCTTGATACTTTGCTTTCTGAAGCTTGTCTTCTCTCTTCCAATTTATTATTGGGTTCARTATCATGCTAAAACAGTAGACACTGTAATTTTGAGACAGAAAGGAGTACTGATTTAGAAAAGCTCTAATTTCTGAGCCACATAAGGAGAGGCATAATTGGCAAACTGTGACTGACCTTGCAAAACTCTGTGACCAGGTTAGGAAGGGTCACAGAAGAATTGACTCCATCTCCATATCGAACATCAGCATGTAACATGAAATTAACTGCGCTGTAGAAGATCTTGCTGATAAATAGGAAAAATATCTCATTACTGGAAATTCACCAGCCCTATAAAATGCAAACATCTTCCTTATAATGCTAAMAAATATTCATATAATTACTAATGTATTTTTATGCATTATTTGTATTCTTCCTATATGTATCTCTATATATATGAATGAGACAAAGCGGAAACAGGAGTCAGTAGGGCTCATTGAAAGAACTTTAACCTAAATTTAAAGGGGGAAAGAGACAAAATCAAGCTCATTAGAGGTAAGTCTGGAAGAGGCACACCAATGTTTGAGGGACAGTGTTTTAGCAGAGAACTTTGCTCTGCCATCTCACTGGAGGTAGAAGATGGAGAGCCATGTGGTGGTTAAGATTGCAAAGTGGRTTATTGATGTGTTGGAAATTGTGGAAGCAGCTGAGAGTAGTTGTGTAGGAATTAAGGCTTGTTCCCCCAGAAAGGTGGTGGGATCRATAGGCCAACTGAAATGCATCTACAGCAATGCACACAGCGTGGCCACCAGACAGGAAGAACTGGAAGCCATTGTGGAGTAGGAAAATGATGGCATAGTTGCCAGCATGATGGGACAACTTCCATGACAAGAGTGCTGCAATGTATTGCTGTAAACTGTTCAGAAGGGATAAACAAAATAGGAGGGTGGGATAGGCCTATAKGTTAGGGAGTGAAATACATGCATCATGGTGATAAAACCCAGAAAATTAGAGAATATAATATTAAAAGGTAAAAAAAAAGGTCTTTCTGGATAAGATTTATCTGCTTCACTATGTGCTTAAGAATATGTTTATGCTTTTTAGAGTGTCTGAGTTCTCAAAATACAAGAAAACATGTTCACTTGTCAGAAGTCAGGAGATTCAAATCATGTATTTACCAGCTCAAGTATGTTCACTCCATAAAGGTTATGAAAATTCCTTGTAAAATAATAAAAGTATCTCATATAATTGATTCTTTTCATTGTTTCATAAAATTGCTTTGTTTGATTGCAGAAGACTTTGGTCTGAATTTTCATTACCTACTTCTGAACAATTTACACTGGGATTGAGACAGTATTGAGCTAATGAGATAGAATTTATATTGAGCCTTAACTGTCTTCCTGAAGTAGCTAGGGAAAGAAAATCATGGCAATAATGGAGTATTTTTCATTATAAACTATGTTGTACAGCTTTTACAATCAGGTTTTTAATAGATCTAGAGAAATTAAATTGGACTTCTACCAACTTCTGTGCTTTTGTCATCCAATGAAAACGATGTTAAAATATGTCAAGACTAATGGGCTGATCCCCTTTCTACTCAAGTAAGAAGGAGGTGGTATAATTCCTGTTGTTTTTCAGGCCCTGTTCATTAAGGAGTAGGATGTATGGGAAAAACATTCATAAATATGCACTTTGCTATAATCCATGATTGCTAAATAGAAACTGAGCACAAATTAAATATATCTTGACTTGTGTTATCCTAAAGTCCCTATCAAGAGACACTCTACATGAAAATAGTAGACATTTTCAAAGTCAGGAGGTTGAAAATGTGCTCTGTGTGAAAAAGGAAGCAATCATATATTGCTGATGGGTATATTAATACTGCTGAGGATGCATGCATATATCCATATTTATGAATATATTCAAACATTGTTTATTGATTGTGTATGGTAAATAAACTCATAYAGTGAGTGTATAGATTACTGTGTGTGCATAAACATACATACATTCCATCTCAGCATTATACATAAGTACACACTGAGAATAATACAGCTTGTCAGGCTGGAAGATTTTAACCTTTTCATTGCATATAAATATACAAATTAATAATGATACATTAATTGTTATTGTCCTTTATATAGAGTACATCGTATTGTCCTTTAATTGTATCTTATTTAATTCTGTGGGGTTTTTTATGAGGAAACCTGCAATAGTGAAAAAGCCTGTTTCTCAGGTAAATTAATTATTTCTCATCTCAGTACTTGTTTGTCCACATTGTTCTTTGCTGTTAGTGTGTTCCAGTACCAGAAGACTGCAAGAATCAGTGTAATCCCTTACATTTTAATTAATAATATGAAATAAAAATTGAATATACAAAATAAAATCATCAGCCAACTGTATATGCATGCATGTTGGTGCCCTCAATAAATTAAATTTTTAGTTACTTCATGTAATGTTTATTTATTCACAAATACAGGATGCAATATTACTGTAGTTTAAATTTTAATTGGCATAGCAGGACATATTTTTTGTTAGACATTTTGCAGGCAAAAATATTCTCTCATGTATTAAAATGCCATACATAGTTTTACTTTCTAAGTATGGGAAAAGTGTATGTAAAATATACTCAAAACATAGACTTCATGTGAATGAGTACAACTCTAATACTTTTAGGTTTGTGTGCTTAACATTAAAGTTATTCTTACATACCTTTCAGAGGGTGGAAGAAAACCCCCAGCCCTAAAGTCCTTCCCCCAACTCACATATTAAAAAAAAAAAAAAAATAAAAATTGCCATCTACAAAAAAGGTTAGAAGGCTGGCCTTGCTTCCAAATTCATAAATTGAAAATTTGGAGTCTTCATTCATCCAAATAATATATATTCATTCCCCACAGGCAGCAGTGATGGTTCTTGGGATAAAGAAAAACTTCAATCTCCCCCTACCCAAGGATCACAGGCCTCTGTTAACCACCCCAACTTGCCTGGACAGCATAATGTTCCAGTTAGCCATCCTCTCAACCCTCTTCAACAGAACCACCTCCTGCCAAATGGTACGGGTTGACATCTTTCAGCACTAACATCAGCAGTTTTCTAGTTCCTGTATTTTTTTTTTTTTTTTTGTGCTTATATAAATAGGCAATGAAAAAATCAAGGATGTGCGGAATACTGGAATACTTCCTTGAAAGTATTAAGCAGGGGAAGTGGAGACAGTAAAGAACAAGTATGTGTGCAATAAAATTGATACTTAAAATAACTGCTAACCTGTGCATCAGTGGCACAATGATGCATTGCTAAGGCACCTGACAGCAGATATCAAGAACTATARTAAATAGCCATTGTTTCACAATGATATCATACATTACACAGATACAAACTAAGAGGTCTAATAGCCTCTCCTTGTGGCTAGAAACCCTCCATGGTTGCCAGTGATTCACCCATGCATCTCCCAGAAGAGAACTGACATAGAGCTGCTTTTTCCTGCGATGTGAACCATCTTGTCACCCATCACTTGAATACCGTCCATCAGGAGAAAAAGAAGACAGTACTTAAAAAAAAGATRCATAAACCTATTTCCTTATTTTCCTCCCCAACAGGGTTGGAACTTCCTTTCATGATGATGCCCCACCCGCTGATTCCTGTGAGCCTACCTCCAGCCTCTGTCACGATGGCAATGAGCCAGATGAACCACCTGAGCACCATCGCCAACATGGCAGCAGCAGCACAAGTGCAGAGCCCTCCATCCAGAGTGGAGACATCTGTTATTAAGGTAACTATGGAACAAACCAAACCACACCAAAAAGCACCAAAYTGTAGCTCAGTCCCAACCATCATAAATACTATTAAAGGTGTGTAAGTGTCAGATGTTCTGAGGTAACCCATAAAGTCAGTAAATACAAGAAAACGAAGTGTGGTGACTGTGGGAGCACAACAGGCTATTGGTGGCCATTATCTGTTCAGTTTCCCTCCCTTTCTCTAAATCAGTATTAAAGCAGCACTCAGGTTGAAGCATTTTCATACACAGCTTTGTGATTTCTCTTGTTTCATAGWCCAATCTATTGGCAATATTCCTTGGGATATCAAGGAAAAAAATTACTCTTTTCTTAAATTAGAAGGGATTGTTCTTCCATCTTTAAAATCAAAGCATTTGAACTGAGATGCTGTAAGTTATCTGAAGAAGGCTCATAGGTTTGATGCTTTACCTGTGCAGAACCTAGATTTGCCAAATCCCAGAACAAATTAGAACAAACTAGCATGGAACAGACCCAGTAAACTGCAGGCCAGAACAGTAGTATTACAGGGATATGTCAAAAATATCTGATCTCTGAACTTGTCTACCTGTTTTAGGTTTTGTTTGTGGTCTTTAATTGAATTAATCTAGTTGTAGAGGCATTTACCAGAGGCACGGAGTCTTTTCTTCTTCTTCCTGAGGGTGATCTGTTTCCATTTTAAAGGCAATGAATTTTAAAAGACATTTCTCTGTTACCACTAGGTAATTATTTGATTGATCTTTATTCAGATATCTACATTTTCTCTCTTATCCTTCTTTAGTTCTAATATATGAGAAACAAAGTACACAAACTTTTGTGCTTTTACGAGTACACTTTGCAAAGCCAAGGTTTTTCAGGGCAATGTTGGAAATCTGTCCATTCATGCAATTCCTTTGACAAAAATTAGGTAAACTTAGAATCTCTTGGACCTCCAAATCARGAGTTACAATAGTTTTGAAATTCATGATGGTTAACCAGAGTGAAGCAGTCTGACTTAATATTAAGATACTCAACATCTTTCTTCTTTTACCTAACAAACACAGAATCACAAAGAACTGTTCAGTTAAAAGTCAACAAATCTATGTTTTTTTTTACCCAGAAAAATATGATCTGATGGCCTAGTTTAGTCACCTACACTTCCAAATGTAGGGTCTTCTTTGGAGGCCTTCAGTGGCATCCCTTTCTCACCTCTGTTGATACGAGGAGCTAAGGTACGGGTTTTAGAATTGTTTATTTAGGTGGTGGGGTAACAAGACTGGATCCCACCCTAWTTTCCATTTTGCCAATATCTTGGGAATATAAGCTGCTAACTAACTGTTTYATTGCATGGTGACTTTTGCACCTTTTTTTTTTCTATTTTTAGTTGATCAATATTTAGTAGGAGTTACATGATACTTAYGTTCTCTGGAACACATGTGGCACTTTATTTAATTCTAAATTTATTTTCTTAATTGGAACTGTGACCACTGGTGGTAGCTGAAAATGAAGACTGGGATGGAGCACATACTAAATGACACCTGACATATGCATTACTGTGTCAACAAAACTTTGTTTTCACTATTTTCATGCTATTTTCCCTCCTTTCATTTTTCTATGAACTATTTGATTCCATATGTAAGAGTATAAAATTTAACCTTCAGGAGCATTGGTAACCTTCTGTTTCTAAACTTTGACAAGCTGACTTCTAGCTTTTTAAGTTGATTTAAAGCTAGTAATAGTTATTAAAATTGCCTAAGTTACCATGGCCYACCTTTAAATATGTCTATGGGAGCATACCCCAGTGTGACTCTGGTCTTTGTCTCCAGTTACCAAAATCAGGTACATTTGAGTACAACATGTGTCATAGGCCATGTAAAAATGGTTTTCTYTTGTGGAAAGAAGGTCCTGCTCTGTTCACAGGTCTAACCACATTGTGRGAACATTGCTGGACTCAGGCAGCACTTAAGTGAGAAGTACTTTTGGCTCATGTAATCTAAACCTGTCTAGTAGGTTTAAAACTCTTGGATTCYGAAAGGGAGACACTGTCATCATGTAACTTTATATATTATTTTAACTGTAGGCAACTGTGGGCAACTGTAGAAAAATGTTTGTATCTTGGAGATTCTTTACTTCTCAACAGGTTCAGTTTTGTAACTCATATAGTTTGTCTAGCAGAAATAGATCCCCTATAATCTAGGTGAAGACCTTGAAAGCACCTTGCAATTTAGGCTCTCTGAAACATTCTATCAGCRCATTGTAACTGGAAAATCATAATTTCTTTCCAAAACCTTGCTTATTTAAGCATTTGTTTGTATTAATAATCTACAGTATGTATCTCTGTCATTTTTGAAAAGTCAGCTCTCATGTTCAATCTAATTAAATATTCATTGTAGCTGCCAACTTTTGCATAACTCCTGGCATAACATCCTGTGYAAGTTATTTGACAAACCAGGTTTCATGTTCCCATCTGGTTTGCACATAACCATAATTCAAAAATATGTGGATTTCAATGAAATGTTTTTAAATGACCAAATTAACCTAAATTCTCTTTAGAAAAGTGTGCACATCTGAGGATGAAATACACATTTCCTTTGAAGTATGCACAAATAAATGAAGAGTTTTGGGTCGTTTATGTAGATCATGGTGGAGACATTGCACAAGTGCTGCCATGACTTCTTCAGTTCAGGCCTGTGACATATTGCTCACAATACATTTTTACTACAGGTGAATCCATAAATACAAATTTTGATCTGTCATTTAAAACTCCTAAATGGAAGATCTTGTGGCATATAGTAATTTCCACAATACTAGAAGGGCTAAGAAACCYTTCCTACTCATTTCTTCAGTCCCATTTTGGTACAGCACATGTCTAGGTTTATGTCCTCTGTTACTGTCTATTGCAGATGGATATGGTCATGTGGATAGAGGTAGCACAGCCAAGTAATTATGTTCCTGTATTTTAATACTGAACAGGATTGAAACATAAACCCCAGCAACTTAAAAGCATGAGGTCATTGTTAGGGGATTTTCTTCCCATGGAAGGGAATGGACTTAATGTCATTGGCAATTTACCTGTTCCTCTCTAGGCATAGTCAGAGGCTGTGATTTTAATGTCCATTGAATTGTATGCATTGAGTAGTTGAGCAGGAAACCCTAACCAGCTTATTTCTTGAACCTTGCACTGGCAATGTAATGTTTATGAATAATAACTTATACTACAATCAAAATAAATATCTTCAAGAATCAATGTAAGTGAGAAGGTCAAACCTCCTTTTTCTTTATTTTTACAGGAATGGATAAATAGTGCAGTTACTTTCTTTCATGAAACTGTTTGTTATTAGAATTACAGCTTCCAGTTCTTTACTGCTATATTTTCAGACATCTTGGTTTTGTTTTAATTATAGTTTGACTCATTTTTTAACCCTAATTTCACTGAAATATTTTCTCCTTAGTACCAATGTTTCCACAAATTGCCTTGAAAAGTTTTTGAATAACTCCTCCCAGAGTTTGTAGTTGTAACCTGAAATGACGGCATAGATTTGAATTTGGAGCACAGCATGTTTACCAGTGTAAACTCTGCTTGAAAGTTAGAGGGCCTGTGAGAAATTTCTACACTGGAAAGTAAATCAATAGTAACCATATCTAATTAAGTAACAAAGAACAAAATTAAGTCTTAGAAAATCTGAGTCTTCAGATTATGAACAACCAGGTTCATTGGATAGAAGAATTGCTTTTGTGAACAGTACCACAGTAGATGACTTGCTGGCCTTTCCTTCCAATTCACCGAGTTCACAGCCAGTGCTGTTATCTTTAAACTCACAAAGCTTCAAATGCCTTTCTATTACTGGGCAATATTTCATTTCTTCATGATAAGAAGTTGGAATAAAGCTGAGATCATGTACTAACTAAACATTTTATCCTGCTATGTTCAGGAGATGAAACAAAGACAAAATTACAAGGGAAGGCTTACAAAGCAGCACCTTAGATTTGGCAGTGAACTCTGAGCTCTAAAATCTTCAGAATTATATTTCAGAAGAGTGCTGTGCCCTTTCGAACATGAGACGAACATTAGATGTCTTTTTGTAATGGAATGTTTAGATATATGAGTTGGATGAATAAGAGGAGAGCAACAACAAGCAGGGACAGCAGATTGTGACAACAATGAATTGCAGTGAGCGTGACAGCTGTGACCTGGGGATGCTTTAGACATGAAGTAGCTTTCATCACCTGCCCATAGTTTCAAAGGCTCAGCTTGTTAGCAGTTTTGCTACATCAATTTTTTTTTTACTCAGCAGAAAGATATATGAAAAGATAAAGGACATGCCTTATATTAATAGCAACTKGAAATTACACTGTAAAAGTTAGATCAGAGCAGCAGCATGCCAGAATCAAAAATTGCAATTTAGCCATATGTTACTAATATTTACAGAAAGAATTAAGAATAAARCAGAAGCAACCAATACCTCCAGCTGAAAAAGTGGAGACAGCAGTGGCACAATAGTTTTGTACTGCATAAGGAATACATCAGACTAAATTTTGCTAATTACCTCACAGATATCGCAGCACTGGTTGTGTTACACTAGTTTATAACTTTTTTTGTACCTATATGCATATAGATAGATATATTCTTGTGATCCAGTAGCAGAAATTTACTGTTAACTTATTTTTAAAAGGTAGCTGCTGACAGATTTTAATTTTAGAATAGCTCTGTTTATAGGACTATTCTGACATGAAATTTTATGTTAGCATTTTTCATT